CGCTGCAGCGGGAGCACGAGTCGAAACGAGCGGAAGCGCGGAAGTGAGGCCAGCGCTAGAGCGGGAGCACGATTCGGAACGAGCGGAAGCACGCCGGGATCGGCCCGGGAGGCTTCCCGGGCGCCAGAGGGAGGAATTCAGCATTTTCTCAAGAAAAATGTGTATTGGAATGACCTTTTGACCTTGTTTTTTTTGTAAAACACAAAAAAGAGTCTGGCAAGTTTACTTGCATGGACGGGGGGGGGCTGAGCCTGAAGCAAGCCGCAAACGACTTGCACGTTCGGGGGGGCGCGCAAATCACGCAAATCGAAAGGCACTTGCACGCCAGTATTCGCCTGAAGAGTGGCGAGGGGGGGGGGGGGGGCGAACGCCATGCAAGTAAACTTGCCTGAGTCCCAAAAAACAGGCGTCGGGCGTCCGGCCCAGGCGCCGGCTCCCCTAGTGTACGTAACCAAATCATATGGTTACGCTCGAAACTGTTGCGCGTAACAAAACGCGAGGAATTTGGCTACGATCGACCCCTCACACACTTGAGTCATCAAAATGCACTCACCCCCGTAACCAAAATCTTCCTGGGAAGATGTTTGCATAACCAAATCGTAACCATATTTTCAATTTTCGTAGCCAAATCATAACCAAATTGCATAAATCGTAACCAAATCATAACCAAATCGTAACCAAATCATAACCAAATCAGAACCAAACCGTAAGTATGTCGAAACGACCATGCTCGACATTGCCGATGGGGCTGAAGATGGGGGCGGGCGGAACAGGGGGGAGTCTGCCAAGCTGGAAAAGCAGGAGGAGGAATGGGATGATGATGAGGAGGAGGAGGAGGAGGAGGAGGAGGACGGAAGCACGGTGAGAGCACGAGGGCTCAGGAGTAAAATTGACGCATTGATGGTTCGACGCGGGGTTTGAAGATCAGGGAAAGGAGGCTTGGAAGAAGAATTTGAGGGAGGCCGAAACAGACGGGGGCGATAATGAGGCTTGCAGGAAGTATCACAGGAATGGCAGGGCAGGAGGAGGCTTGGAGGGGAGGAGGCAGTTTGGAGAGGGAGGCTTTGAAGAAGGAGTAGGTGCGGGGATACATGATTGAAACTTGGCGGTGCTAGGGGTAGAAGGAAGAATATGTGGAGTGCGGTTTTCAAAGAGGCGACTCACGCGGGGGGTCTGCACGGAAGAGGCATAAGATATGGTGGAGGGCTCTGTTTGGGTGGGTGCTAGACCCGTGGGGACACGCTCGGATCAATGTTTGACGAGAGGGCTCTGGCACGAGGTAGGGGCGGCGAAACATCGGAGAGGTTCGGAGGGAGGAAGGAGGGAATCACGATGTAACACGGTGTGTGTGTGTGTGTGTACGGACAGGTCCACCAGGGATAGGCTCCACCAGGGATGGGCCGTGGGGCTGGTCAAGCCATGGGCCCTGACGGACCCCGTTGTTTAGCCAAATCGTAACCAAATCGTAACCATATGGAAACGTAACCAAATCGTAACCAAATTTGACATAGCGTAACCACATCGTAACCAATTCTAATATATTCATAACCAAATCATAACCAAACCACACCTTGGAATCACATTGCGCCTCTCATACGAACTTGGCTCAACAAGAAGCCGATTTGGTTACGCACGTGCACGCAACAAACCATTGTAAATTACAATATTTTGGGCGCGTGATTCGGTTACGATGTCATTGTCTTCTAGGGTCGGGCGCCGGCCCGGGCGTCGGAATCGGCCCGGGAGGCCTCCTGGGCGCCGGGAGCAGAAATTCAGCATTTTCAGAAGAAAAATGTGTATTGGAATGGCCTTTTTTCGGCGCCGCCTCGGAACTCGATTTTCCGGCGCCGGCCGAAACCGGCTCCGGACCCGGCCCGGGCGCTGGCCCGGGCGCCGGCCCGGGCGTCCGGCCCAGGCGCCGGCCCGGGCGTCGGAATTTGCCCGGGAGGCCTTCTGGGCGCCGCAAGCAGAAATTCAGCATTTTCAAAAGAAAAATGTGTATTAGAATGGCCTTTTTAACTAGATTTTCCGGCGGCGGCCGGAACCGGTTCCGGACCCGGCCCGAGCGCCGGCCTGGGCGCCGGCTCGGGCGTGCAGCCCGGGCGCCGGCGGAAATGATGCCAGCGCTGCAGCGGGAGCACGATTCGGAACGAGTGGAGCCCGAAAATGAAGCCGGCGCCTCAGCGAGAGCAGCATTTTGGGAAAAATGCAGGCGAAAATCCAACTTCGGGGAAACCTGTGTGTAAAAAACAGTGCGCGGGGGGGGGCGGCTACTCCCAAGACGTCATCAGGGGAAGAGGGAGAGTAGTATTCATATTGAGTAATTGTAGAGGGAGATGGGGCAGGCCAGGCGCGCTGGCGCCATATCTGACATCCCCCCCCTCCCACCCATCCCTTCCCATAGCGCTGGTTGCTTCTGGATCCGCGGACGCGTGAACTCCCCCAAAGACTCCATCGTCTTATGCGCAACCGGGAACGGAACGGGGAGCTGCGTACACAGGAGGAGGAGGAGGAGGAGGAGGAGGAGGAGGAGGAGGAGAGGAGGAGGAGGAGGAGGAGGAGGAGGAGGAGGAGGAGGAGGAGGAGGAGGTGGCGGATGACACGAGGAAAAAGGGGGATAAGGAAAGGAGAGGACGAGGACGAACAGCAGTAGTGGGAATTGGAGTGGAAGGAGCGGGAGGAGCAGGAGGACCAGGTGAAGGCGGAGGAGGGGAAAGGAGGTGGGCGACAATGACGAGGATTGACTCGGATCCAGAAAAGTGGCCCGCGCTCGAGCGAGAGCGCCATTCTGAACGACGGGAGCAAAGCGCCGATCTTGGAAAAAGGCCAACGCTGCGGAGGCAGCACCATTATGAGACACCGAGTGGGCTCCGATTGAAAAAGCCATCGGAGCGTCAACACACAATACGCGGAGGGGGCGGGCGGAGAAAACGTGGGCGTGGGGGGAGGCAAATGCGAGGCGGTGGGCAAGCGTGGTGGGGAAGGCTGCCTCTGGAGCGGAGGGAGGGAGGGGAATGGAGAGCATGAGGAAGGCAGGAGGAGGTGGTTACAAATGTCTCACGGCTTGACGTCCAATATCCCACGGTTGCATGGACTTTGTGCAGGGGTGTTGGCGAGGTGGTGTTCAGCCTGGCCAGTAGACGTTATCTTGCTCCTCCTGCACTGGCTCCTCCTTATTATCCTCCCCCTTTCTCCCGCTATTGCTGATCCTCCTTTTCTTCTCCCTCCTCATCCCGCTCCTTCTCCCAGCAGGAACAGGCAGTCTCCAACAACCTCCCTGGCTCCCGCTCAACGCCTGCCGCTCGTCGAACTTCTTCGACTGGCACTGGCTGATGGGCAGCTCAGTCCCGCAGACCCTCGCGCTCTCGGCACGAGCCTTGCAGAGGCGGCCATGGAGGATTCCAACGCGCAACCTGAAGGAAGACGCAACCCGGAAATTATCCTTGTCTGAGGATGCTACGGGTCATCTTCCCTGGTGGTGGGATGACCCGATCCCTATCGTGAATTCTCTGGATTATATTGGTCTAGCGGTACGAGCGGTACGCAATACGCAGTATGCCTCCGGCTATTGAAGTTGCTCGTGACGTGACCCGATTGGTGGGCCAGCGGGCCATGCAGAGCACCTCTCCTACGGTTTACATGCTCGCACATTTCGAGGCACTGTTACTCAGTGCGCTGGAGACTGGGGCACTGACCACGGGCGTCGGGAACATCCATGGCCCCGTTTAGCCAAGCCCCCGCATCCTAAGCCTTTAGCGCTGCAGGTGGGGGCATTCTTGACCGGAGCAGTGGGAAAGCCCACCAATGCTTCCATGCCTTTATTTAGCAGTTCCCCCAGTCATTGGGCACAGAGCTGCCCTTTGCCTGGCGGCGTGGCTCAGTCTTGAACGCCCATTAACACACTAGAACCCAGGCTTCGCTTTCCTGGCAGTGGGCAACGGCCGATACACTCACGGGCGGCTGGACGATTTCGGCCCGATTTCATGTTCTTCCCACCAATTTCGGCTGCGCACTTTTAGGCCGCAAGGTTGACGACAGTATCCAGGATTGCCTCACGCGCACAAGACTCCTAGTGGTCATCGACGGGGGCCCGCTGGCTTTCTTGCACAAGGGGACCCCGTCTTTGCCCCTACACCTAGTCGACGACTATCGCCAGCCTAAGTGCCATCGTGTGCGCACGATTCGAAGAGTGGTTCGGCTGTTCTATTGGTTTCACAGCTGTCCCACCCGAAGACGTGAGCGGGAGCCGCAGAGCAGCGCATATATCCAGGACGACGCAGCGTACTCGCATGCCCCTGGCTGAACTGATTTATACACTAGCTGCGTTCAGGATGGTTTCGTCGAAGTGCTTCGATGTGGCAAAGCTAGCCTTGTTTTTCCAACCGAGCCTCGTGCATCCTGCATACCTGGCTGATGAGAACAATACGGCTACGCAGTCAATCGCCACGCGGTGCCAGAGGCCTAGTTCTACTGCTGAGAGCGGCTACTGCATCACATGCGATATCTTAGTGTACCTGAGTTCCCCTGTACAGCTTATGTTCAGTATCTACTCTCTCGGTACAGCATCGACATCGTATCCGACAAGCTCCTCGGGCTGCATCGCAGAGCAAGGTTGTCCAGTGGGCGGCCAGGAGCAATAGGAACTGTGTTGCTCTGCTTTGGCGCGTGTGTGCTGCTGTAGCGGGCTGAGTCGCCGTGACTGCTCGGATGCCGTACTACCGCTTGCTTCGGCTGGGGCGGTGGGCGGCCTCTTGGCACTCAGGTGAATCTGCGAGGGTGCGCTGAGGCGCACGAGACCGAGCGTTGCAGCCGCAGGGCCACAGGGAAACGCTTCGGTCCGAGGGGCAGTACGAGCTAGGAGCTCCTGACCTCTTTAGACGCGTGGATCATCATCGGCACCATCATCATCAGCATCATCAGCATCATCATCATCATCATCATCATCATCATCATCATCATCATCATCAGGTGTTCCCCTTCTCATTATCTTCCTAGTCTTCCTTCCCCCTCTTCAACCTCCTCCTTCCGCTCCCCCCTTCTGTCCTTCCTTCTCATCGCGCCAACATCCCCTCGCTGCCCGCTCTTAGCTCAAGAGCCTCATTCCCCCCCCCCAGTGGCTCCCGCGCGCGAGCGCGTGCCATGCGCCGACGGCGGCCATGGGTTCACACGGGGACGCCCTCTACTTGCTCAGGGTCGCCGCGCCCTGCTGGCTCAAGGCCCGCGGTCGTCTCGCCCCGCCAGGGCTTGGCAGAGGGGGCGGGGGAACTGGGGGGGGAGGGACAAGTTTGGCGCGATAGCTCGTTTTGAGGCGCCCCGTCCCTTCTGCGCATGCCCTCCCCGTGCGCCCGTGCTTCTCTGTTCGCCGAGTCGTCACGGTGGAGAGGGGGCGCGCACAGTCGAAGAAGACCGCGCGCGGAACAGGCAAATTGATGCCGAGGTTTGGGAGCGCCTGGGAGGCAGAGCAGGATGGGGATTCACCTGAAGGGGGGACAGACGGGATCAACAGAGGAGGAGCACCCGAAGGAGGCGCGCGCACATCAGCATGGGGGCCTGAAGAGGCCCCGCTGGGACCGAGCAGAGAGAAGGGGCGCACCCAGCAGGTTCGGTTTAACAACACGTGGTTGAGCGGTGCTGCACCCCCCCCTGAGCACAGGCCCCCCCCCCAAGCATCAGCCAGATTAGTTGGGTTTCCATCCTCATGCTCGGCACCCTCTCCCCCAACCTCGTCAGGGCAACTGACAAGGGATAGGACGGCGGTGGCCGACGCGTCCGAAGCCCGGCATTTCTGGAGCATCAGCCAGGCAAGTCTGGCCTGAAGGGGCCCGCTGGAACTGAGCAGAGAGACAGGGCACACCCTGCAGGTTAGGTCAAACACCATATCGTTGAGCGGTGCTGCAGCCTCCCCTGAGCACAGCCCCCCCGCCCAAGAGCATCAGCCAGACAAGTCGGGTTTGCGCCATCATGCCGCCGGCAGAGGAAGAAGAGGAAGAAGAGGAGGAGGAGGAGGAGGAGGAGGAGAAGGCCGATGGGCCGCATAGTGTGACGCTCGCCCAGTGTGACGTTGGCCTCCGTTTTCCTTCCTCCTCACTTCCGCCATCCGCTCCTCCTCCTCCTCCTTGTCTCCCTGCTCCTGCCCTCCTGCTTGCGAGCCTCCTTGGTCCTATTCCCAGGAGGGCCTGCCGCTCGACGTCCTTGGCGGCCTCGGACCGTGCCGTGGAGTCCGACGCCCAGAGAGAGGCCGCTCCTCCTGAGCTGCACCACCTCCTGGAGCGCCTCATGACGGCACCCCGCAAAGATCCGCTTCGCAGACCTCTTTCTCCACCTCGTGTTCGGGGCCTCCACGGGAGCTGCCCCCTGCCCGCGCGCGCGCGCCCCTCGACGATCTTGCTGATGACCTGCATCGTCTGCTCGGCAGCGGGAGCCTGTGCCGATGCCAGCGGCACGCGTTTCTCTCTGCCGGGGAGAGGGCCTCGGATCTTCAAAGCAGCTCCGTCTTCGTCAGGGCGCCTGCGCGCTCGACCTCGGGTTGGCCACGGGGGTCGTCCTTCTCTTGCCACTTTGCCGACCTGACAGTTGCGGCAGTGGTCGATGCAGTGGCTGCGGCTGGGAGCCGACCTCCAAGGCCCACGGCATGTTCTCGTTCCTGTTCACGCTTCTCTGATACTTCTGCTGAAGCTTTCGCTTCGCGATGGCCAGCGTCCGCGCTGGCCAGCGTCAGCAACGGAGCGACGGCCCTTCCTCGCCCCCTTTCAGTCTTTGCGGCCTCTACATGGCCTCGTTCTCTTTCTCCTCGGCGGTCCGCTTCTTTGGCCTGCTTCTCGACCAGCAGCTTCAGTACCTACAGATACCGTGCTTGGGCGCCAGCTCCGGTCGGAGTTTGAGAGCAATAGGCACTTGCACCTGAACAGCTGGCTCTTTCTCGTAGCGGCTGGCCCGGACTTGGCGGACCAGGGTATCGATCGGGTTCACAGTGGTTCCACGAACACGGTGTTGGTGGATGTCCAAGCCATTCAGGCCTTTGAAGAGTTCGCCGCGCTCTGGACAGGGAATCCTCGGAGCGCCGTCGGCCGCCTTTCTCGTCCTCCACCTCGTCGCGGGGGGCAGACTCGAACATAATATGCTGGAGCTCCACGAGCGAAGCCTGGCTTAACAACCACCGCCAGGGCCTGAGCACTTCGGGTTCATATCCCTGCTCGGATTGAGACGTGTTCCGCCATCTCCAATTGCCTCCCCCTCCCAGAAGCCATACACGTATTCGATCGCGATTTGGCTGCGGTGGCCCAGCGGTGCAAGCGTTGAATCCGTGCACGAAATGTAGGCGGACGGCATCGGGGATCATGGCCGATAACGGTCTGCGGAAGCGCATTCTCGCACGCCCTGCGGCGGTCCCCGAGCCCGTCATGCGTCTGCGAACGTGGACGTGCGATGGACGCTTTCCGCCTTGAGCACCTGCTGAGGCGCGAGCGCGTGCTGACGTGGCCGCTGAGCTGTGGCGCGAAGCCTTGTGCCCGCAGCGTTCGGGGATGGCACGAAGACTTGTCTGCCCCTTCTCGCCTCCTTCCCTACTCGCCCTGCTTCCACGCCGAACCGCCGCCCCCATACTCTTTGTATATGGCCTAGCTGTTGTGCGCGTGGAGTTATTGTGTGCTAATCCGCGCGGGACTAGCAGCCCCTGGTGGATTGGCTTCTGGGCACCTCGGCTCTGACTGACCGTCGTTGCCCCCTTTTTCCCGTGACGAGTCTTGTCGCAAGCGCACGCTCCCTCCTCGGGTCCATTTTCCTGCAACCCTCGATCGCCCCCCCGCGGATCTCCCCCTACTAGCGCCCACCCAATTTCCAAGGCTCAAGTTGGCCCAAGCGGCGAGATCGGGGAGGTATGGTGGTCATTCGAAGGCTGGTGCTGCCAGCGCAAGTCACGAGCGACGAACTTGTCCACATCCATGCCCTCGTGGTCTGGGCACCGAGGTGCGATCCCGCGTGGATGCGCGTTCCCACGATTACGCGATCCCATTGATACTTTCCGCGCGGGCCATCCGTCCAACGCCTCTTTCTATCCCTGGAGGCGCGGCGAAGGAGTCCAGACCCTGCGGCCTCGGATATAGATGTAAATCGGAATAAGTGCGGGGAGCAGCGGGCTGGCTCTTTCCGGGAATATTGCCGCGGATGGTTGCAACGGGGGGTGCGCGGCGGCTTGTGGTCTGAGGGCGGTCAAGCGGCCCGTAAGCCCCGCCAGGTTTAAATTGTATGTGAGTTTAAACAATCAGATGCTCTTGGCGGAATCGACCGTCATTCCATGCGTTTGCTCCAAGGACCAGTCTCAAGCATTGCAAGTCCAGAAAAAATAAGCAACGTTAACCATGAAATGCAGCAACGCAGGATTTTATGAGCCGTGGTTATGTGATTTCATGTAGGCCCCATCGGTTCTGCCGTCTTGAGTTGTCCCCTCCTTCTCGAACGATTCATTCACTGAGGAAGCAGAACAGCCAACATTGTTTCAGCATGATTCCCCAAAAATCAGATACGTGCTTTGTTGGACGACGTCGGTGGGAACCCAGCTTACCCTACAAGGATCTTGCTTGCGGGTCGCTCCATCCTTGGCTTCGCGCGTGGTGCAGTACAGTACCCGCTGGCGCTGCCCCCTGGCCGTGCTGTGTATTGCCCGTTCATGCCACCCTTCAGTGCGGGTTTCGTCTGGATGCGCTGTCGGCACAGCGCTGCTGCCAGCTTCTCTTTCGGATGGATCGCGCCGCGTTATAGGGGAAGGGCGGGCGCAAAAAAATTAGCCTGGCGAAGGACCCAACCATATGCAGCTGCGAGTACCGCACGGATATGAGACTAAGGAGGGGGCACGCAAACTAGGCCCCTCTTCTCATAGGCACCGCGCCACTGGGGCCTTCGGTGGAGCTCCCTATGGGGCCACGAAGCGTGTGAAGGGTGTGCCGAAATGGGTGGTGGGGAGGCATGCGGACCCTGCCACTGGGGCCTTCGGTGGAGCTCCCTATGGGGCCACGAAACGTGTGAGGGGTGTGCCGAAATGGGTGGTGGGGAGGCATGCGAACGCAGCCACTGGGGCCTTCGGTGGAGCTCCCTATGGGGCCACGAAACGTGTGAGGGGTGTGCCGAAATGGGTGGTGGGGAGCCACTGGGGCCTTCGGTGGAGCTCCCTATGGGGCCACGAAACGTATGAGGGGTGTGCCGAAATGGGTGGTGGGGACGCATGCGAACGCAACCACTGGGGCCCCTTCGGTGGAGCTCCCTATGGGGCCACGAAGCGTGTGAGGGGTGTGCCAAAGTGGGGTGGGGGCGGCATGCCAACTCTGCCACTGGGGCCTTCGGTGGAGCTCATTATGGGGCCACGAAACGTGTCAAGGGTGTGGTCCGAATAAGAGTTGCGGCGGCCCGCACTGCCACGCTGACGGACCCCCCCCTCCCTCTGGCTTTTGGCCGGGGCGGCGGGGCAGGACAGGCGACGGGTTTTTAGTACACGCTGTCGCCACTGAATTCAATGACCGGGTTGTTAGAGCCCCCAGAGACCAAGAGCAGCGTCAAGGGTGTGTCGACATGGGTGGCGCGGACGCATGCGAACCCTGCCACTGGGGCCGTCGGTGGAACTCCCAATGGGGCCACGAAACGTGTGAGGGGTGTGCAAAAGTGGGTGGGGGCGGCATGCGAACCCTGCCACGGGGGCCTTCGGTAGAGCACCCTATGGGGCCACGAAATGCGTGAGGGGTGTGCCAAAGTGGGGTGGGGGCGGCATGCGAACCCTGCCACTGGGGCCGTCGGTGGAGCTCCCTATGGGGCCACGAAACGTGTGAGGGGTGTGCCAAAGTGAGATGGGGGCGGCATGCGAACCCTGCCACTGGGGCCTTCGGTGGAGCTCCCTATGAGGCCACGAAACGTGTGAGGGGTGTGCCAAAGTGGGGTGGCGAACCCTGCCACGGTGGATGGGGCCACGAAACGCGTGAGGGGTGTGCCAAAGTGAGGTGGGGGCGGCATGCGAACCCTGCCACTGGGGCCTTCGGTGGAGCTACCTATGGGGCCACGAAACGCGTGAGGGGTGTGCCAAAGTGGGGTGGGGGCGGCATGCGAACCCTGCCACTGGGGCCGTCGGTGGAGCTCCCTGTGGGGCCACGAAACGTGTGAGGGGTGTGCCAAAGTGAGGTGGGGGCGGCATGCGAACCCTGCCACTGGGGCCTTCGGTGGAGCTACCTATGGGGCCACGAAACGTGTGAGGGGTGTGCCAAAGTGGGGTGGGGGCGGCATGCGAACCCTGCCACTGGGGCCTTCGGTGGAGCTACCTATGGGGCCACGAAACGTGTGAGGGGTGTGCCAAAGTGGGGTGGGGGCGGCATGCGAACCCTGCCACTGGGGCCTTCGGTGGAGCTCCCTATGGGGCCACGAAACGTGTGAGGGGTGTGCGGAAATGGGAACTAATGGCGATGGCGATGATGATGATGATGATGATGATGATGATGATGATGATGATGATGATGATGATGATGATGATGATGATGATGATGATGATGATGATGATGATGATGATGATGATGATGATGATGATGATGATGATGATGATGATGATGATGATGATGATGACGATGATGATGCTGGTGGTGATGACGATGATGATGCTGGTGGTGATGATGACAGGATGGTTGGGAACTAATGGCGATGGCGATGATGATGACGATGATGATGCTGGTGGTGATGATGACGAGGATGATGATGATGATGTGATGATGATGATGATGATGATGATGATGATGATGATGATGATGATGATGATGATGATGATGATGATGATGATGATGACGATGAGTATGATGACGGCGATGGGAGGAGGGAGGAGGGGGGAGAGGAGGAGGAGGAGAGGAGAGGAGAGGAGAGGAGAGGAGAGGAGAGGAGACGCGGGGCGCTGTCTCTTCAAAACGAGGACCCAACACCACAGGATGGTTGGGAAAAACTCCGTCGGCGGCGAGGCAGAGTTGGTTGCACCAGCGAAGGAGCAAGACGGGGGCGCCGAAATCCAAATTGGCCAGCGTGCAAGAGGGGAAAACGGGGAGGCAAGGCGGCCGCGGAGGGGGGGGGGGAAGAAGGGGTCACTCAGGGGCGGACGGGTCTGCACCTGAGTTTGCTGGCGCGGCCACCCCCGCCGGCGGGGACCATGGCAGCTGCCGGGCCGCGGCGCCGGGGCACCCACGGGCGCAGGCGGGGCCCAGTGCGGGTACTGCAGGTAGGCGAAGCAGTGAAGCCGTCGAAGTAGTACACGAGGTGCTAGGACAACGGGCGAGGGCCGCAGGCCGCCCAGGTGGGTGGCACTGACAAGGTGCGACAAGTACATGTGCGGTCCAGGTGGGACGCCACATAAACACAAGGCTGCCCTGTGCCGCACGCCATGCGTGCCATGCCGCTCGTGCCATTTGGGGAGTGTTGTGCCGAGAGTGGCCTGCCAGGAGAGCGTCGCTGTGCGCACCGATAGCGCCGGCCTTTGCGCTCCGTGCCGTACGGGCCACGCCCAAGGTGCCGTGCCAAGGCCATCGTTCCGAGAGCGCGATGCCGTGCGAGTTGAGCGTCGTGCCGTGAGCGCCGTAAATACTTCACGGTGCCGTGCAGTCCGCCTTTCCGTGCGTGCCGTGCTACGCATGCAACTCTCGATGCTTGCGCTCATGCCAGGCGCAATTGTCCGCGCTGCCACCCAAGTGTCCGCCCTGCAGCCAGGATGGAAGGGCCACTGAATCGCGTTCAACGAATGAGTCAGAAATCGATCGGGTCCAGACGTGATCCAGGGCGCATCGTTCCAAGCGAACACGGGCGCATGCCCTGTCTCCCTCCTCCGCCCTGCAGGGGGACAAGTCCAAGAAGGATGGATGGGAGGAAGGGCCGCCATCGGATGGTCGGACGCCGCCTCCGCCCCGCTGAGACGAGGCGCTCTGGGCTGGCGGAGCTGCCTGCACGGTCTGCACGCTGGTCGTCTCGTACAGGCGAGCGGCCGTTTGCTCTCTTTGCGGTTGGGGTCCGCTTGTCGTCGTGGTTGTTTTTTGCACGCGGGCACCCCGCGACGTGACACCGCCCGCCCTCTTGTATGGAGGACGCAGCCTCAAGGGGGATCCAAGGTGCATCCAGGAGCATCTCAGACTCCTGGGGCCTCCAACGGGGATCCAGGGGGCATCCTGGGGCATCCAAGCCTCCATGAGGGTTCCACTGGGGATCTGAGGGTCTCCAGGAGCATCCAAGCCTCGGGCCACCAGGCGCTTCCGGGGAAGGGGCTCGGACTTCTGCGGGGCCTGCAGTGGCATTTTCAATTCCACATGGCAGGCCCGCCCTTCCGCAACGGCTTCTGGCGCACTCTCTGGGGCTTCGGGGGATCCAGCCTGGCTTTTTTGCCCTCGGCCCCACTTGATGCCACGGTTCGACGCGGCAGCATTGTGCCCCGGAGGGCCAGGGCCAGGTTAGCATCGGTCCTGGCCGGGATGATGGCGGAATCTAGGTTTTCCAAGGCGCAGGGGAGGCAGCCCAAGCTACTTCATTTCTAACTTTCTACAGGCCATCAAAGACTGACGCCCATTCTGCTCAGCGCCCCTGAGCCTGCCCTGGGTTAGAGAGCTGTCGCCCACCAGACTTCGTGGTGGCGGCGGAAATGGGCCTGGGGGGTAGCGGAGTTGTTTCCCAATTGAGAGGATGGAGGAGGGAAGGCTCTCAAGTGGGGAGGAAGGGAGGGCTCCTGGTCCTCTTTTCCCTCCTCCTCCTCCTCCTCCTCCTCCTCTTTTTTTTTTTCCTCCTCTTATCCTGGCCGGGCAATGCGCCCCGATTGTTTTTCCCAGCAGTGCTTACACCATAAGGGGTTTGCGCTTCTCTGCTAAGGAGCTGGGCCCGCGTGCACGGCCCGCGGCCCGGCTCCCGTCCGTCGCCGCCCCGTTCTTTCGAGTAGAACGCCCGTGTGCGGCCCCAGCGGCCCTGTTCCCGCCCGTCGCCGCCGCCCCGTTGCACCCCTCCTCTGATTCGCCTTGCACTGCATTGCAGCCGCACTGCGTTTCGTAAGTTTGCATCGCTTTGCATCGCTTAGCGTTGCTTTGCTTTGCGCTGCAGTGATTTGCATTTGCATTGTTGTGCTTTGTGTGCATTGCGTTGCATATCTTCGCGTTGCGTTGCATGGCTTTGCATGACTTTGCATGTCGTTGCGTTGGTCGTCATTGCTTTCCATTGCTTTGCTGTGCGCTAGGTTGTTTCGCCGTGGTTCGCATGTTCTGGCATTGCGTTGCATTGCTCTGCACTGCAGTGCGTTGCATGGTTTTGCATTGTTGTGCATGGCTGTTCATAGCTTGGCATTGCTTTGGATTACTTTCCAATGCCTTGCATTGCGTTGCATTGCTTTGCATGGTTCTGCATTGATTTGCATTGCCTTGCATTGCTTTGCACTGCATTACTTGGTATTGCGTTGCGTTGCTTTGCTACGCATGGCTTTGCATGGCTTCGCATTGCCTTGCGTGTATTTTCAATGCGCAGTGCTTGCCATCACTTATATTGCACCATATTGCTTGCACCGCTTAGATTGCACCACTTGGATCGCACCGCATGTATTGCAGTAGTTCGCTGGTCGGGGTCCACGCTGGCTAATATCTTGTAGTGCGATTTACAGCTCAGTAGGCAGGCCTGTGGCCGATACGAACATTGCGAGGTTTGCCTGATTGTTTGTTATGTGTGGTAGCGATGTGCGACGCATGCAGGCAGCAGGCACCGCTCTAGCCGCGTTAGTCACTCCATGATGTTGTCCGCTTGCGCATTCATGTGTAGTTTCTCGTAATAATTTGTCTCGAGAGGCTTACGCCATTCCGCCGACCCCCAGAAGAGGATGTCGCTATTGTCACCTCCTGTTGTGCTGCCTGCGTGTAGTTGTTGCGGATCCGTCCTCCTCTTCCTTTGAGTCCAATGCGGGGTTTCTTGGGTGCCTTTGGAAGCCTCGGGGGTGGCCTTTTGGGAGCCTTTTCAGGGTACCTGATGGGGGGCCCTCTGAGCGGGCTTCTTGGGGCTCTCTCTTGGGGGCGTGTCGGGGGTCTTGGATGCCATCTTGTGGGGACGGGCTCCTGGGGCCCAAACGAGTTCCCCCACGTGGACCTCGCTTGGGCCTTTCTTGGGGTCCTCTTTGATGTTTTTTGTTCCCGTCTTGGGGTGTCTTTCGCAGTCTTTGGGCCGTCCTGGGCCGTCTCCGGACCCTCTTGGGGGCCTCTTGATCCATATGGGCCCCGTCTGGAGGGTACCTCGGGCCGTTTCGGGCTTTCAGAAGCTTGGAAAAGGCGGCAACGCCAAATTCATTTGCAAACCTGTAGGGGGTTCATGCTTTCTGTTTCATGAGGCCATCTTGGGAGTCCTCTTAGGGCCCTTAGGGGAGTCTTCGGGGCCTCCTCGGCCGTCTTGAGACCATCGTGATTGAAGCCTTCTTTAGGCGGCATCATGGGCATCTTGGAGGCCGCTGAGCGTAGATTTCGCGGCTCCGAGGGCTCCAGACCTGCGTTGACGAGCTCGTCGCCGCCCCCCACCCCCCCGCCCCCCCCCTCAAACTGCATTGTGGATCTCCAGGGAGGGGGAAGGGGCGCCAGGGGGACAGCCAATCATCTCACACGCCCTCTCACCCTAAGCATGCGGGGGTCGGCATATTTCAGCAATAGCTTGAATTTTGACAAGCAGCCATCATAATTCCCCGAGCATTGTTTGCACTAAGGGCTTTGTGATTGCATCTTAGGTATTGTGTATTGGTACTAACCGCTGGACTTCCCGATCGCCAATTGGGTTCAGCCCGTAGCGTCACCGCTGTATGGGTCTGGTTCGCATGCGGGGTCTTCTTGTTGCCCACCGATTCCTGGCTGGCGCCTGACTTGGAATAAACATCCTAATTGGGGATCGCTCCAGTGCATCCGTTGTGCACGTTGGTCGCAATGGCTTATATCAGCAGAATAGTTAGGAAGCGGAGGAAGAGAGTATGGGATCGGGGAGGGGGAGAAGGGGAGGGTGGACGGGGCAGTATGTTTGCGCCAGTAGGAGCGCCATGCTCAAGCGTTGGGGTAGGCACATGGCGCTAAATTCGCTCATGCATACGCGTGTGATGCCACTCAGCAGGCATACGCTGGACCACGTTCGTGCCGCAGCGGAGTGCGGCTTCGGTGGCAATCCATTTGTACCATGTTCTTTTGGCTCGCGGCCTGGCTGCCTTAGAAGCATCTGATACGTTGGTTCCACCGCCCGCGTGGCATGACTACAGCGCGACTGCTGATCAAGCTGCCCCCCAATCAAGTTCCTCTGTTCTCGTTTGCGCGCGCTCTGATCGGCAACTCGAATCTGGACGGTTATCGACGACGTGCGAACCGTTTGTCCTTGTCGTCGTCGCCCTTCTTCTCCTCCATTCCCCTAATCCTCCAATTCCCCCTTCTTCCCCTCCCCCTCGTCTCCCCTTCTCCCCTTTGCCCTCCCCTCCCCTCTCCCCCTTGCCGCCCTCTCCCCCCTCTGCCTTCAGCAACACAGATCAAATTTGCATCCGACGCCCACGCCTACCAATACGAAAGGCCAACCGAATTACCCCACGGGGGACTAAACCAAGACGGACTGGTTTGGTCGATAGATGGTCGAGAAGCAATTTACCGATTCCACATGACGGCACCTCTACCACGCATCGGCACTACTAACACGGACTTCTTCTCCCCATTCCATCAGAATTTGTTGTCAGTCTCGCAGTTCTGGGGTATGCTTCCCAGGCGAACCAGATTTCGCAGGCCACGGCCTCACCCACCTGGTCATCGCTAGACCCGTGCGATTGCCCGCAGATGTGGTCGGCCGCTCGCTCCCCCCCTCTCTCTCTCTCTCCCCCTCACCCCTTCCCCCCCCCCCCCCGGCTCGGGGTTGCCAAAGGTGCCCCTGGCCCAAGGGGCTCCCCACGTTTCCGCGCCATGTTGGGGCCCCCTGGCCCCCCCGGGCCTCGCGAGGGGTGCTGTGGAGACCCTGGGGACCTCCCTGGAACTCCCGGGACCCCTCTTAGGCCAGCGGCGGCGGCGGCGGCCAAACGGCGAACGAGCTGCGCGCCCGCGGGAGGAGGGCCGAGGCCCGCGGGCGGACCGCGTGCTGCACCTGCTGCTGATGCCGCCCATCCTCTCCCTGACCTCGGCCACGCGCCCAGACTGAGGCGCCATGCCCGCCGATCCGGATCCGGGGCCAGATCGCCCTCCCCTTCCCTCCTCTGTCCTCCCTCCTCCCTGGGACCCGCCTCCTCCCCTCCTTACCTTCCTCGACCCACTCGCCCTTCCCCTCCGTCCCCCTCCCCCCCCCTTTCCGGCTCTTCATTCTCATATTCCCTTTCCCCTGCTCCCCGTAGCCATTTTGGCTCAAGGGAGGGGGGTCAAGCACGGGTGACAGCAAGCTCGAACTGCTAAGCTAACACTGTGGATAACCATGAGCGGAACCGGTTCCAAGGGCAGTATTACCGCTTCCCCAGAGTCCAAGAAGCACAAGGGAGAGCGCCTATCCCACGAGCAAGAGATCGACAATGTTTGGCATGATCACCAGCATGCAAATATCATGACCAGCATGAAGGAGACAGTCCAAACCGCCAGCGACACGGCCGGGAGAGCCCTAGCAGATATTGGGAATGTCAAGGTCGATATCGAGGGTATCACAGAGGATATGGTCAGTCTACCGGGGGGGACATCATCACAAAGGACAATCTATCAAATTTGATCCAAAGACATCGTTAAGCAGGAAATGGGGAATCATGTGGGAAACCAAGCACAGCAGGGAGGAGGAGGAGGAGTTGTTGGAGGAGGAGGGGGAGCAAAATCATCCAACAATGATAAAGCAATCTTCCAGGGCATCCGAGAACTACAGGTGATCGCGAAGGGGTTGAAGGAGGCGTTGGACGAGGACGAGGTCATAAAGCAGGTGACCCAGGCAGTCAAGAATTTGTGCGTGGAGGGTAAGGTGAATAACGTGTTCGTGTTCTTTGACCCGGCGGCAGCCGGGGTTGTCGAATTCAAGGGCATGGCGTGCAAAAGTGGATTTCGCAAGCGTGCTAGGGATTAAGATGCTAAGTGGGGGAATGGTGGGGACATGTATGTCACTAGCAATCACAAGCACACCGTAGAGGAACGAACCATTGATAAAGAGCTCGGCAAAGTCAAACACGAGTTGTTCAAGAAAGGCTACCACCTGCAGGACATGAGCATTAAGTGGGAGCCGGAGGCTGTAGAGCTCAAGGGTAAGAAGGTTGCGTAGTACGAAGGAGGGGAGGTCAAACACCAGGGCGAGGGTATGGACGTAAAAGGTGGAATGAAGGAGTACACGAAGGAGTGGATTTCTAAATTCAATGGTGGACAAAAGTAAGCCCAGCATAACATGCTGAGCTTAGAGTACACGGCGAAAGATGGCGTCATCATGCATTTGTAAGTGTTGGGGGCGGTAGAGGTGTCTACGGGGACGTTGAAGGTGACTCCCCAGTATCAGCTTTAGGAGTGGATCAGCAGACGGTCATAAGCACTGGTGGCACCAGGGACGACGATACCGAATTCACAATGCAAATTTTCACTTTGAATGTCAGGGGCCTTATGTCTAGTAGCAGATTGGACGAGTTACTTCATGAGCTGGGGCCCCATACATGGGATTCTGCTTGCCTGAACGAAACGTGGCGCCCGGACGAGCGATAATACTTTGTATGCGAAGGCGGTCATGTATTTGCAGGCTGCGGAGGGGTTGAAGGAGCCAGAGGAGTAGCAGTGTTGATACATAGAAGATGTGCCAATCACGTAATCAGACTTTGCCGATCATCTAAAAGATTTGGGTACATTGATGTGCGCTGCACTTGTTCGGCGTTGCGGGTTACATGTGCTTGTTTGCGTCATTGCGGGCATCCAGATTATCACGTCCAATCCATGTGCGATGTGCTCTCAGAGCTCCACTGGGAGGCCAAGCGCAACCAGTGCTACATCATCTTGGCCAGTGATTTCAACGCTGAAATGGGGCTTCGGGAAAACGGAGACATAGAGAAGTGTATCGGCAGGTACGGGATGCAAAACCAGAATTGCAGGGGGCTGGATGAGGCGTGGGCGTGCACAGAGAGGTTGAGCTTAGCCAACGCGTTCTGTTCGAAGAGGTTCCAATACAGAACAACGCATTGCGGGACATATGGGGACAGATGTCAGATTGATTACATATTGTGGGCTTTCGATTACACAAAATGGTTGATTCGCGTACGACCGACGCTTTGAACATGGGCTCGGATCGCAAGCCTGTCTTGCTCAAGCTACGCTGCACGAGGAATAATAAACATCATAATAGAAAGGAGAAGCGTACCCAGACGACTTCTTGGAAACATGTTGATACAGAGCTCTTTGTTCATGAAGCACGAGTGGGAGGCCAAGCTGTTGCACCCACTGGAGATCCTGGTGCGGATTGCGAGCTGATCGCTGAGGTTTTGGTCGATGCCCCTGCCGGGGCGCGAGTTCATCGAGAACTACATGTTTATGGAACTGTAAAACCGCTTCGAATTACGGCAAGGATTGCAGGGCACAGATGGATCGCAGAGAACAGCGTGTTGAGCAAACGCATTCGCAAACAACTCCAGCGAATCAGGAGATCCAAAGCCAGTTCGCGAACAAATGAAGTTCTCATGCCTCTCAGACATCAAAGAGCATACCGAAGATGAAGACGATCAAAAAGAAGCAGCTGATCACGCGCGTGACGAACAGCACGGGCAAAATCCAAAGTGGCCGGCAGAATATTGCAGATGTTCTCGCGAATGTTTATTCGAAGTTCTACAACATTACGGAGGCATCGCAATTTCCAGATGAGGGCGGGCAAACAGCACGTGGCCACAGGCGGCATCGAACCATTCATATTGGAAGAATCGCGCGTGCTTTGCACAGGTTGAAGAATGGGACATGTTGCGATTAAGGTGGGGTGCGTTCAGACATGTTGAAACATTGCGGTGGTTGTTTGATGCTCTTTCGTTGGATTTGTACAACAATATTATTTCACCAGGTGCGTTGCCGCCGGAATCGTGGAACAAATCCTTCGTCATAGTGCTGTATAAGGCCGGAGGCGTTGCCGATGCCAGCAATTACCGCCCGATCACCATCATATCTTTGCTGTGCAAGTTGTTTGCGGGATTGCTTTACCACGGGTTATATCCCGTATTGGACAGACACCAAAATTTTCACCAAGGCATCAGCCCCGTTGATCACATGGCCGCGGTGACATTGCTACAGGAGAACTGCCACGAATGGGATTGCAGTTTGTGGTTCGCAGCGGTGGTTTTCAAAAGGTTCTTGGTTGTATTGAACATCATTATCTATTGCGTGCTTTGGCCAGGCAAGGTGTCTCACCTTGGTATAATTTTCTTTCAACAATTGTACGCGGGACAAGCCGCCAGAGTGCGAACTGATTGTTTGAGCAAACCTTACAACATCCAACGTGGGACAAAACAGGGAGACCCTCTGAACACATTGCTGTTCAGTTGCCTCATCGAGGACGTGGTGGACGAAGTGAAAATTAATGGTTACAGAAAGGGTGGGGACTGAAACTTGGTTTCACAGAGCACACGCAGCTTACGAACCTGTGTTTTGCGGACGACATTTTCCTCGTCGCGGTTGCGCTCAGGCAGACCAAGGTCACGCTAAAAATATCAAGCAAGCCGCAGCTAAAGAGGGCCTCGCGAATCACACCCCGACGAAACCAACATCTTGAGCAACTCCGCCCGGGGAACAAGCAGACCGAAAAACGTGAAGGTGATGATCGACGGCGTAAAGATTGAGATTGGACCGTACAGCGGCAGCGTGAAATATCTCGGCAGGCTCGTGGGTTTGAACAGATATCATGATGTAGAAAGCAACACCAGTATCTGGAATGTTTGGGAATATCAAATGCAGCATCGCGCGGAGCTTACTGATAAACAGTACTCGTTGAATTCTCGCTTGCGGTCGTTTGATTGCACAGTGACCGCCACCATGCTCTACGGCACGGCTACGCGGGTACTCGCGCGCGAGCTAGATGACAATACTCGGCGGACGCAGGGTGATCATCGTGCGCGCAGCCAGGCGCAGAGAACGTGAGCGATCTGTTTCCGCATCGTCGTCGTCATTTGGTGCACCGTTTTCTCGGTCTTATTATCATTATGTTGTTTCCTTTCTTTTCTTCTTATAAAAAGTCAACATCTTCGAGTGCGTCATCTTCTTCGACCAATCTCGATTAATGGGCAGATGTTATTCGGCGGTCGACTCACAACGCGGAGAAGCGTATGGCTGTCTTGGGATTGCGCGGTTGGGTTGCAGAACATCAGAAGGCAACAGTGCAGTGGCCATACCAAACGCGCACAGAAAGGCAGAGCTGGGCGCAGATCGTGTTCAACTGTGAGCACGACGGCTACATTCGGCGCGCATATTAGCCCTGGAAACGATGGATCGACACAGTCAACGGCTGCAACAACCACGGAGGCGCTGGGGCGCCACCGCGCCGTCCTTCGAGGACCGCGTTCCAGCGCGCATGGGAGCGTCCGTCCGTCCGTCCGTCCCCGCTTTTCGCCTCCTCCTTCGCCCATCTCCTCCCCCATGCCCTTCAGCGACAATTTTAGCTCAAATCGTTTTGGCTCAAGGCCACTGGCTGCGGACTCCCACGTGGGAGCACCACGCGAGTAGGCCCGTCCTGGAGTTGGGCAGCCAGACAGGGTTCGCCTTCTCGCTGACCGTGCCTCTGTTCCAGTGCGTCCGGCTGGTAGGCGCGACGACCAGGGAGATTGCGCGAGTGGGCCATTCTCCTTTCTGGAGGCGCTGCCGCACGAGAGTGAGGTGGGCGGCATGCCCACTCTTGTTTGCGGAACTCGCGCCATTGGCCTCGACGGCAGCGACATCCAGTAGCTGGCATTCTGAATCATCCATTGTGGCACCCATGCGGCACAGGAGGTCCGAGTGGTCAAACGAGGACGCGGAGGTGCCGCAGATCTGAGGTAGTTTGAAGAATCAATGCGACTTCGAGACTGCGGGCCCGGTGGCGCTCGCGCCGCCAGAGGGTCTCTTGGCGCGCACAACGGTTCTCCATTGTGCGGCGAAATTTGCGCGGGGCCATGTGCTCGCCACGCCGACCTGCACACTGCGCGGCGCAACCATGATCTGAAGGTTTCGTGGCGCGCATCCTCGGGGCGCGCCGTTTCTTCTATGTTTTTGCTCGAACGGCGGTCCTTGTGGGTGCGGGGTTCCAGCGGCGGTTTGCGTGCACGCCAAAAAGGAGGCAACTCTGCGTGGTTCCAGAGGGCGATCGCGGTGTTCGACGCGAATACCAATGGTGGTCCCTCCCGACGGCAGTTTCTGAGATGGCAGCGCTGTCTCCGCCGCCGCGCGCATCTCTGCCTGGCCTGCGACGCGAAGCGATCGTTGGGGGCCGTCCGGAGGGTGGCGCAGGGCCGAGCGTCGGCGACTGGCCGGTGCGCTGCTGTATTCACCGTGATTGGCACAATCCCGCGGTTTGTGCTGCAGCATTCGTGTTATTGCGGTCGCGGCTCCTCTTCCCTCTTCCGTTTTCTTCCTTCTTTCTTGCCTCTCTTCCGTTTCCTCCACCCCGTGCCTTCTCCTCCCGCTCGGGGCGCGCCTCGCTCCCCCCGAGGCTTTGCAGATGCTCCTGCCCAGCGCGGAGCCGCTGTGCTCGTTGCTGCGGGTCACCCAGGAAGGGGAGGGGGGGCCCTCCCTCTCTATTTGTCAGTCTGTCTGTCGGTCAGTCTGGCTGTGTGTTTGTGTGTCTGTCTGTCTGTCTGTCTGTCTGTCTGTCTCGTCTCGTCTGTCTATTTGTCTGTCTGTCTGTCTGTCTGTCCGCCTGCCTCTTTCTCACTCTCTCTTTCTCTTTGTTTCTCTCTCTCTCTCTCTTTCTCTCTCTCCCTTTCTCTCTCTCTCTCTCCCTCTCTCTTTCTCTCCTTGCCCATATACATGTACTTATGTGTGTATTCAATGTTGTTTATAGTTATGTTTGTTGTTGATATGTCGTTCTGCACTGCTCATTTGTATGTTCCCAATGTTATTTGTGTGTCTCTCTCTCTCTCTCTCTCTATCTCGCTTGTTTCTTTCCTTTCTTCCCACATACGTATATAATGTAATGCAGCGATGTGAAATGTAGTGCGCCATAAAGTCATGTGCTATACTGTATTGGTTTGTAATGTAATGTAATGAAATGTAAAGTAATATACCGAAAAAAATGAAATCCAGTGTCATGTAATGTAATGCGATGTATTGTAATGAAGTGGAATGCAATGCGATGCGATGCAAATGTAATGTAATGTGATATAGTGCGCTGTACTGTAATGTAAGGTATTGCAATGTAGTTTAATGTAATGCAATGTAATGTAATGTAATGTAATGTAATGTAATGTAATGTAATGTAATGTAGTGTAATGTAATGTCATGTAATATAATGTGTAGGCATGTAATGGAATGGCCGTCGGCCCATCCCGCCACCGTGCCTGGATTGTGGGTCTGAGTTCTCAGGGATGCTTCATGGTTTTGTTTCGGAGCGCTCTCGGGGACTTTTTGGGAATAGGTTTGGAGCTTCTTGGAGATAGCATTTGGGATTCGAGCGGACCTCTTAGGGACCTCTTAGGGACCTCTTGGGGCCCTCTTGGGGCCTCCTGGGAGCCTTTTGGTGGCTCCTGGGGCCCCCATCTGAGCCCCTCTTGGAGCTGTCTTTGATGTCTCTTGGGCAGTCTTGGGGTCCTCTTCGGCTGTCCTGGGGCTTCCTTGGGCTGTTTTGTCGCCCTCTTGGAGGCCTCTTGGGCCGGTTTGGGGCGATCTTGGGGGCCTCTTGAGCCGTCGTGGAGCGTGGGGGAGCCGAAAAGGCGAGAACGAACGCCCAAAATTTTCGAACACTTCAGGGCTATGAGTGATTTTTGCCTCTTGGGGCCCTCTTGGGACGCCTCTTGGAACACTCTTGGGGCGTTTTGCGTTTTGGGGGCCTCTTGGGCCGTGTTGAAGCCACCTTGGGCGTGTTGGGGCGAGCTTTCGGCGACTCGGGGCCCTTTGGGCCGTCTCGTAGACATGATGGAGCCCTCTGGGCCTGTCTTGGCGCCTTCTTGGGCCCGGAAAAGTCAAGCGGGAGACAATCCAAGGCCCAGAGGAAGCGCTCCACGCCCCAGAAGGTTTGAGAATTTTGGATCCGGGCCCCTCCAGGATTCCTCAGGACGGAGGGCTGAAGCTCATAGGATCCGGTTGAGGACCTGCGGACACGCCCACTCCGTGCCCAGGACACGCCCACTCCGTGCCCAGGACACGCCCATTCCGTGCCCATCTCGTGGCACTCTGTCTCTCTCGTTTATTCTCTCTCTCTCTCTCTCTCTCTCTCTCCCTTTGTTGTTGTTGTTGTTGTTGTTGTTGTTGTTGTTGTTGTTGTTGTTGTTGTTGTTGTTGTTATATATTTGTTGTGTGTTCTCTCTCTCTCTCTCTCTCTTTATGTCTCTTTCTTTGTAGATATAAATACATAGTTATCTCCCTCTCTCTCTCTCCCTCTCTCGCTTTCTGCCCCCGACCTTTCCTTTTCTCTTCGCGGCTACCTTAGGGTATATAGGAACGCGTTTGCGGGAAAAGAAATTGGCCTTCCAAGAGATGGCAGCATATTCGGGTTCAGGGCTTCAGGAATCGGCCATGCATATCCATATATTGTGAAGGTCTTGCGGCCGGTGCCGCCGACCCTGAAGATTTTGGCCGTCGATGGCTACGGGATGTGTGATCACAAGAAGAAACTAAAGGACAACGTGACAGGGTAGGCAGAGAAAGTGTGTGTGAGGAGGAGGAGGAGGAGGAGAAAGAGGAGGAGGAGGATCAGGAGGAGGAGGAGGAGCAGGAGGAGAAAAAGGAGGAGGAGGAGGAAGAGGAAGAGGAGGAGGAGGGAGGTGGTAGTTTGATCTGGAGGAGGAGGAGGAGGAGGAGGAGGAGGAGGAGGAGGAAGAGGAGAAAAAGGAGGAGGAGGCACGCAGGAGGAAGAGATGAAGGAGGAAGAGGAGGAGAGCAGGAGGAGGAGTAAGAGGAGGAGGAGGAGGAGGAGGAGGAGGAGTAGGAGGAGGAGGAGGAGGAGGAGGAGGCAAACGAAAAGGAGATGGAAAAGGTAGCAAAAGACGCCCAGGAGGAGGAGGTGGTATTCTGCCCCGGGACCCCCCTGCAGGACCCCCCCGGGACCGACCCCCCCAAGGTGGCAAAAGACGCCCAGGAGGAGGGAGGTGGTATTCTGACCCGGGACCCCCCCGGGGCTCCCCCCCGGGACCCCCCCCGGACTCCCCCCGGGACCTCCCCAGGACCCCTCCCGGGTGTCCCCCAGGACCCCCCCAACGTGGCAAAAGCTGCCCAGGAGGAGAAGGAGGGACCTAATAGTGTACATAACCAAATCATGTGGTTACGCTCGAAAGGGTTGCGCGTAACCAAAACGCGAAGAATATGGTTACGAACGACCCCTCACGCGCATGAGCTATCAAAATGCATTGAACACTCCCGTAATCGAAATCGTTTCGGAACGATGCGCGCATAACCAAATCGTAACCATAGTTTCAATTTTCGTAACCAAATCATACCCAAACTATGTAATTCGTAACCAGATCATAACCACATCGTAACCAAATCATAACCAAATCATAAGCAAACCGTAAGTATATCCAAACGACCATGTTCGGCATTGCCGATGGGGCTGAAGAAGGGGGCGGGCGAAGCAGGAGGGAGTCTGCCCAAGCTGGCACACTGTGGTTTACATAATGCTGGCTAAAGGTTTCAAGAACAGCCCCAAGTGTTGGCTTAGCGTGGCCACGGAGACTCCAAAGTACGACCCTGACGTTGCGAAATTCCCCATTTCATGATGATGATGATGATGATGATGATGATGATGATGATGATGATGATGATGATGACGACGATGATGATGATGATGATGATGATGATGATGATGAGATGATGATGCTGATGGTGTCCCAATGAAGATGATGATGCTGTTGATGATGGTGTCGATGATGATGATAGTGTCCCGATGACGAGGATGATGATGCTCATGCTGATTATGTTGATGATGATGACGATGATGGTGTCCCGATGATGATGATGATGATGATGGGAACGATGGTTATCATGATGATGATGCTGATTCCGATGATGTTGGTGATGATGAAATTGATGGAAATGGTGTCCTGGCGATAATTATGTTGATGATGATGATGATGTTGATGATGATTATGGTGTCCCAATGATGATGCTGATGATGATGGTGATGGTGATGATGATGATGATGCTGGTGATGCTGATGGTGTCCCGATGGTGATGATAATGATAATGACGATGTTGATGATGCTGTTGCTCATGATGATGACGGTGCCCCAATGATGATGACGTTGATGATGATGATGATGATGATGTCGATGATGATGATGCGATGATCCTGATGATGATGGTGTCCCGAGGATGATGGCGATGTTGATGATAATGTTGATGCTGAGACCGATGGTGATCATGATGGTGTCCCGATTATGATGGTGATTATGATGATGTTGCTGATCGTGATGATGACGATGACTGTGTCCCGATGATGATGATGTTGATGATGAGATGATGATGGTGATGATGATGATGTTGTCCCGATGATGATGATGACGTTGATGATGATGTTAATGGTGATGATGACGGTGCCCTCATGATGATGACGATGTTGGTGATGATGTTGATGTTGATGGTGTTGATGATGATAATGATGATGACGTTGATTGTGAGAGCGATTGTGATATCGATGGTGAGATCGATATTGAGACCGAATGTGAGATCGATTGTGTGATCGATTGTCAGATCGATTGTGAGATCAATTGTGAGAGCGATCGAATGAGATAGATCGAGTGAGATCGATTGTGAGATCGATCGAGTGAGATCGATCGAGCGAGACCGATAGTGAGATCGATACTGAGATCGATAGTGAGACCGATCGAGTGAGACGTTGTTTCCCCCCCCGAACCTCCTTATCACCCGAAGGGTGGTCGTATAGGTACGGCTATAGGGCTATAGGGTTATAGTGCTATAGGGATATATGGCGATTGGGCTACTGGGCTATAGGATACAGGGCTATTGGGCTAGGCACCCCCGGGCACCCGGGCACCCCTGGGCACCCGGGCGCCCCCGGGCACCCCCGGGCACCCGGGCACCCAGCCCCGGCCACCGAAATCGGCCACACACCTAGGCACCCGGGCACCCCCGGGAACCCCCGGGCACCCGGGCACCCGGGCACCCGGCCTTGGCCACCGAAATCGGCCGCTCACCTCACCTCAGCTTTATATCCGCTAGGACCCCTACAGAGGCAAGCTCTAATTGGGGAAAAAATAAGCACCGATGTCATCACACAAGCCACTGCAGTAGCCAAAACCAATAGAGCCCTACGCACAAAGGCGACAACAGCGGGACACCACCACAATCAGCCAGGGGATTCCGTGGACTACCACCGCCTGGCCACTGCCAAGGACGACTGGGGTGGATAGAACGGGCCATGTCCCATCGCCCGCAAGTGCCCTGACTGCGGCCAGTCAGCGGCGCAGGTCGGCGGTCCGGAAGTCTTGGTGCAGCGCCCAGACTTACGACGCACATGATGCATTGAATTGCTGATGGTCCGCGAGATCGGCTTGGATACTACGGCAATGCGAACCGCATTGGCCTTCATCGCGAGCT